ATCAAAATTTTCCAAAAGGATTACATTGGACAATCCTCAAAAGATTTAGGATAATTAGTTACTGTAAAAAAAGGTATAGAACTAAATTAGCAAAACTGAAAAAGTATAAGACTAAATTGGGCGTTGTATAATATGTTGAGGACTCTCAGAAGAAACTTTCTATGTCGTAATGAAAATTACAATGTTAATTTTATTCTTCTTAAGTTCATTGTTTTTTTTTTATTTTTAGCTATAGAATGTCCAAATCGAAGTTTTAAGCATGCTAAAATTGGAAAACATTTACATATGAATTCAAATACCAATGTCTATTAATAGCATAGTTCAAACAATAAAAAATTAAAGGGATAAGTGTACCAGAAGTCTTAAACTCATCTCGAAAGTGTAATTAAATTCTAAAACATTCAAAAAGTGCAATCAAGTCTTAAAACTTGTCAAATTTGTGCAATTAAGTTCTTAGGTTAACTCTGTCTAATTTGACTAACTGAAAATAATGACGTGCCTTTTTTATTACTTTCTTAAGATACGTGACGCCGATATGGCGCCCAAATCATAGGAAAAAAACTTAAAAATTCAGAAAGAAAAAAAATTAAAAGATAAATTAAAAAAAAAGAGCAAGAAAAGACAGAAGAAGAAGTTAGATTTCAGGCCGCATACATCTCTCCTTCGATCGCGGCCTTCTCTTCGAATTCTGGTCGTATTCATTCCCTCCCTCGTTCAATCCGTCTTACTTGACTGCATATTCAAGAGTTTTTCAAGAAGTTGGCGGAGGGTTTGGAGGAGAAGCTCGTGATCGACGTCTCCTGAACCAAAATCGATAGTTCTAATAATATCAACATCGAATCCGAAGAGCAAAAGCTGTCGACCGAGACCGGAAAGCCCCCTGTTTTCCCGTTCTTCTGGCCTACGCGGTCCTTCGGCAACAATCCAAATCTCCTGCTGCCACGGTCACGATCTCCTCGACAACCATGGGGCTAGGAGAGAAATTCAAACATTGAATGGAGCAAAGACGTTGGGAAACTTCATTGGGAGTGAATTGAGCAGAGACGCCTCCATCCAGTTCTTAGTTTCTGTTCATTTAGCAGAAAACAACTTTCGGGAGAATGTTTTTTGAGTTTTCCGGCATTCGGTTCACAGAAAATAAACTATTTAAGGAAAACATTTTCTCTCAATGAAATAAACATATTCAAAAGTGAAGAAAATGATTTTCTCTTTCTGAAGAGAGAAAATCCTTTTCCCTTCTCTTTCCTCTCTACACTCCTTCACTTTTCTTTTCTTTTTTATTTTTTATTTTTTGATACTTTATAAATTTTATTTCTTTTTTTAATTTTTTTTTTCCTTTTTTCTCTGCAAGTCACTGGCCACAGCGACAATCAGCGACCGGCCACAAGCGAGGGACGAGCTCACTCAAGGCCGGCGAGGCTCGATCTCACCGGGCGACCGGTAGAGAAAAAAGAAAATGAAAAGAAATATAAAAATTTTAAATTTTAAAATAAAAATAATTAAAAAATCATTTTTTTAAAAAAAATTAAAATAAAAAAATTATTAAAGGAGTGCAAGGAGGAAAATCAAATCAGACTTTCCATATCAAACAACAGAAAATATTTTCCAGTTCATTTTCAAGTCTCTGCTAAATACCGAAAAGAGTTAATACCACGAAAAACCCCAAACTGGTACACCTGTAACAATTTTACCAAAAATTAATTTTTTATCATCAAAAATCCCAAACTGGTACACCTGTAACAAATTTACCCTCGATTTATTTTCATTAAATTTTATTATCAAATTGCTTTGTTAAATGACACGCGGCAGTTGACTGATGTACTGATTTTATGTTTTACTTTTCGTTTGTCACAGGTGTACTAATTCGTGATTTTTTTTTGCTATTAATCCAATTTAACGGAAACTAACGGAGAATAAATTTGTCACAGATGTACCAGTTATGAGTTTTTCGTGGTATTAATCCTACCGGAAAATATTATCATTTTCATGAAAAATGACTTTTCGGAAAATATTTTCTGAAAACATCACATTTTCCGCCCGAGCCTTAAAGTGCAAAGAAATTCTCCGCCGACTCATTGAATAAAAATTCATGAAAGAATTTCAATTTGGTTTGAGCCTAAACAAGACCACGGTTTGATATCGACCAAGATCAAGAAGTCATACGAGTCTCGTGAAATAAGGAAGTCCAATATCCCTTCAATCCATATTACACAAGTTCCATTCTCATTATTTTTAGCTCCTTGGGTTTCTGAAACTTTGGTTCTCTAATGTTATGTAATCTTCACTTTACTTTTTCTTTATTGAGACGAGATAATGAAGTTTTTGTTCATATGAAAAGTGAGCGCCACATCGTTGCCACATATCCTAAAAAAAATATTAAATTACCACGTAAGCATTTTCCATTAACCTAATTGGATGGAGTTAGCGGAGGGGCTCGATTGCACCAATTTGATAAGTTTCAGGACTCGATTGCACTTTTTGAAAATTTTAAGATTCAATTGCACTTTCACGATAAGTTTTAGCATTTTTAATGCACTTACCCCTATAATAATATGTACGATTATCAGACATGTCTAATTTTATTGTCGTTTCAGCAGAAATGGCGAGATACCTATCAAGATGTGGATCGATAAATGCGAATCGACCAAAGTTGCGAAGGGTCCTTTACTGATTCTTGGACTGAAATGTGAATGACATGAAATCTAAAAGTACCAATACTAGGAACAAAGTTTATTGAACAAGATGTGGATCGTTAATGTGAATGACATGAAATCTAAATAGTTTATTGTACCGCGGAAGTGACAACGTGCCTTTGTGTTTTTACTCATTCATTATAGCTACTTTCAATTAAAGAGCAAAGTTTACAAATTTATATTTTCAGATCGTACACGCATTTAGTTAGTAGATTTGAATTCTAGAGTTCTTATGAATTTGATTAATTGTATGATTTATGTCCATATTATTTATATTTATGCCTACATTTATCGGAGAGATATCCCTTCTGATCGCAGCCCGCAATAAGCCACTAACTATACACTACATTTAGGGCAAAAGTACACCAGAAGTGCCACAACTTGTGTACGGCGATCACTTTGGTGCCATAACTTTTTTTCGGATCACTTTGGTGCCAAGTCGGAGGAAAATATATCACTTTAGTGACTCCGGCCAAAATTCCGGTCAAAAAGCTGACCTGGCATTTATATTAAAAAAAAATGGTCTGACTTGTACACGTGGAAATTATGTGGCTTTTTTTCGAATTTTTTAATTTTTAGAAAAAAAAAAAGTTGCAGCGGCGAGGGAGCCCTCGCCAGCTTCTGCCGCCAACCCACCACTGCCGGGAAGGGCCGGCGGTGGTGGGCGCAGATGGTCGGCGAGGTCGCCGGAGCCCCGGCCGAGCAGAGCAACCCTCTCCGAGCCCGGCCGAGGCGGATCCGGCGAGGTGAGACCTCGCCGTCGCGACCCGGGCGACGGCACGGTCTCGCCTCGCCCAACGAAGGCGAGGCCGACCTCGCCTGGCCCGGGCGAGGCGAGACCTCGCCGTCGCGACCCGGCGACGGCGAGGTCTCACCTCGCCCAAAGCAAAAGGCGAGGCCGGACCTCGTCGTCGCCCGGGTCACAACGGCAAGGTCTCGCCTCGCCAGGATCAGGCCCTCGCTAGGCTCGGCGAGGTCGCCAGGCAGGCCCGGGGCGGCGACCCTCGCCAACCACTGCGCCCACCACCACCGGCCCTTCCCAGCGGTGGTGGGTTGGCGGCAGCAGCTGCGAAGGCTCCCTCGCCGCTGCTGTAGGCTTTTTTTTTTAATTTATTTAATTTAATTTAATTTTTTTTTAAAAAGTACACGTTAGCGGGCTAAACGGCGTCGTTTTTTATTTTAATGCTGACTGGACCTCTCCGGCGAGCCGTGTCAGCGCCACATCGGATTTCCGGCGAGCCACGTCAGCATTGGCACTAAAATGATCGTTTTTCAAAAAAGTTGGCGCCAAAGTGATCCGAAAAAAGTTATGACACCAAAGTGATCGCCGTACACAAGTTATGGCACTTCTAGTGTACTTTTGCCCTACATTTAGGCTCCATTCGTTTCACAGAAAACAATTTTCACAATATTTGTTTCACGAAAAGTAAACTAGTCATAGAAAACATTTTCCCTCAATGGAAAAACCACCTTTGAAAGTGAGGAAAATGTTTTCCTCTTGTCAAAAAGTGGAAATCATTTTCCCTCCTCCTTCTTCACCATTCATTTTAATCGTTTTCTTTTTCTTCTTTTCTTTTATTTTCTTCGCTGGCCACGACGAAGGCCGGCGACCGGCCACAGGCGAGCTCGAGCATTGCCAGAGGGCGGCGAGGCTTGGGCCTCACCGAATCAGCTACGCTTGAGGCCTCGCCAGAAGATAATTAAAAAATCGATTTTAAGAAAATAAAAAAAATTTATTAAAAGTAGTGTCCGAAGGAAAATATGATTTGATTTTCCATATAGAACGGCGAAAAATATTTTCCAGGTCTTTTTCAGATTTCAGCCAAATACTGGAAAATTGTGTCATTTTTCTAGAAAATGATTTCTTTAAAAACATTTTCCAGAAATGTTATATTTTCCGTGAAATGAACAGAACCTAGATACAAAACTAATAGCGACTAACAAAAAAATTTAGAACTACTCAACTTCCTTTGTAAAATGCATCTGGTTCGAACGTATAAGCTTGCAAACGTGTCGATCGGAATAGGTTTGGTTGGTCGGACATAGGTGTGGCCCGAATAAACTCATCTAATTATCCATTTTTTAATGTAATATAATTTAAACTTACTCGTACTCGACTCAACCGATACTAGACCTAAATCCATCCGAATGAACTACATCTTTCGAGCCCACCGATCAAGTCCGCCCACCGTCACTACTCCGCCTCCTGCAGCCTCACTAGCAACCGCCCGCTGTCGATGCGGTCCCTACTTTCGAACGCTTTGGCCGCGATATATTAATATCTTTTCCTGGAAAATCTCTCCGCAGTTAAAAGCCGATTATCGTGCAGTGGGAAATCTGGAAAGCCCACAGAAGTAAATTACGTCTACATTGCCTAGACAATGGAAAGAAAGAACTAGTCGAGGAGTTATTTCTCCTTTTCAAGATCCATGGCATGACGCATGACACATGACGCATGAATTACCGAGGAAATTTAGGGACATATCAGTGTAACTACAACAGACCTCGTAATTCGGCTCGCAGCACTCTATGTGACCTACGGTTTCGATTTCACCAGCCCCCGTGATTTCGGCGGCATTATCGCAACAGGTAACTTACGGTTTGGATTGTCTCAGAACTTCGAGACTGGAGAATATGTGAGACCAATGTGCTTATGTTTCCAGGCATTGACGAGTCGATCCTGCGAAGGCCGGAAACACATGTAACAATGGTGTGCATAGTGGTAGGTTAATCAAATTTCATGCATTCAAGTGTGGACTGCAAGATTTGGAATTCACTTGAGTGTTTACCAAGCAACTTCACGGTAAGGCCGGAAGCCGCAACATTGTTCACAAATGTGAAGGCTCGTCCAGGTCCACCGCGCTTTCGTCATTTAGCACTTGGTAGCAAGTGGGGTTTCCGTCATCCACAGCCGGAGCACCATCAGGGTCTTTCTCACTGAAACAGAACAAGAATCCTTTTGACTCTCGTTAAGACCGCTAAACTGAATTTCAGCAAATGATCAATGCCGAGGATGCTGCTAATTGGCAAGGTACATGAAGTGGATAATTGGCAATCATTCCAAAACTGTGTGTGTGTGGGAGTGGGTGACAGTTTGCATAAAAAGCATTGTACAGCATGAGGCAAGAAGAGGGACAGGTGCGTAGAACATACATTACCGAATATATAACCACTCCAATTATGACGACAGAGAAGGCGAGATAGTACAGCCAGTCAACCTGCGAAAATGAAGGCATACATAGTAAGGCTTTGTTAACGTACAGCTCGTCAAAGTTGGGTGATGGTTAACAGACTCTAGCTGAATGAATACGATACGGACTGTGGATGTTTTTATACCTCCTGGCGGTATAGGAAAATGCGAACAACTACTGCCCACATATCAGATGTGAGTGCTGAGAGGTTGAACATCGTCGCTCCACTCATCTGCGCAGAGACAATGAAGCAAGTGCTCTATCATGTTGCTGTTCAGTTACAAAAAATCGAACAGAAACCACAAAATGTTTCCTAGCTCGAGGAAATACGGTTGAATTACGAAATAAATCAACTTTCAAAGTGCCTCGTACACACGATGATGCGAAATCCTCTCAGTATGTCAGATGTTTCTTTCAATCAATTTCATTAAGCTACAGAATGATACTTGAGATTGGTCTCTGTTTGCTTCAACCAGAAAGATGTCCAGGACGGTTGCTAGAAACTAACCTTTAGAACAAAAGGAACCAGAGAATAGAACATGAAGCATGACGCCGTGAAACCAACAAAAGCCAATATCTAGGGAGCAAAAGGAGAAAACAGAAAGCCAATATCAGTTCCCGAGAAACGGATGCACCAATAATGCTAGAGGAATTACTGGACTGCAACATGAAGCATGGGTTAGGACAATCACAGAGCCAACATCTGAAAACAAGATGAAGATTGACAGATTAGTATACTTCCCTTGTATGGATCCGGCAGCAGAGCATTCAGATCGAGTGCTGACCGACATTCACTAGCAGATTTTTGTTATGAAACTCCATAAAGAAACTTATTTGACTGCAACAAAATAAGGATTAATGACACCAGCAGTCTTTGAATTTTTCGTTGGTATCAATGCTATCCCGATTTTTTTTTCTTTCAATTTAGTCTCTAAAGTCTTCAAATTCACCGTTTACTTGCTGTGAATTTGTACACTGTGACATCTATGTATTTTCTACGTTAGCGTTCTCTCCTTCTCAAACTCAATCAGAGACGACCCTAATTAGCAAATAAAAAAAAAGTTCAGGGACTACTCGTTAGCTCACCCACTTTTTTACCCCAACGCCAAATTTCTCATATTAGTGATCTTGGGAAAGCAATGTTATGGGAGACCTTGAAGTGGGCTACTTACTATGTCTGTCGACCACTGGATGGATTCGGCACTCTCCCTCTCTATGATAGATCTAGCTCACTGTTAAGCAATAACTCGGAGCATGAGACTACTACCCAAAATTCCTTCATCAAAGGATACATTTCAATCACGCTGACTAGAGCCCCGAATAGACCGAGCATGGCGAGTACCTCAACACGGTCCTTTTTCTTTACGCAAAATTCCTGCAGCAGAAGCAACGAGAAGATGGGACACAGGCAAACAGTTCTCGATGTGAAAAGCCGGGGAAGAACAGGTTCTGCTGATTCGTGAACTTATTCAAGAATGCCATCTTCTGTTTTTCCTAAGATCGAGTCAAGGAGACAAGAGAAAATTCAGTGTTTGTCACCTACCTCCGCAACATTGCTGATGGCAAAGAAAACCGTCCCGGCAATGACGAGAACATCTCCCAGTAGCGGTTTTGAACCACCTGAGCATAGAACATGGAAAATCTTGAACTTGGTTATATATAAGAACTTTAATCACCCTATTATTAGGCATAAGACAATGCGAGATGAAACCGAAAATCGCTACAATGTCGGTTGTTCCTTTTCGGGCAGTGTAACTTTATCGACATTATACGGAGTGGAGAACGTAATTTAGAAAAGCGGAAAGTTCACCTCCTCCGCCCGCCCCAGCATCGGAGAGCATCACCAATCCGAGGCCTAGAACAGAGAGAGCCGCCCCAAATAACTGCCATAGCGAGTAGCGAGTGCCGAGGAAGATCCAAGTCAATACTATGACCCACGCTATCGTCCAACAATCTAACAGCGTTACGCTGGTGATCGATGAGTACTGGTACGCCTTGTTAACTGCAAACAGATCAACAATAGGCTGGCAACAAGTTCAAAATGACACATTACCACTAGTAACAATGTGCGAAATCATCTTTCACGACCCTTTTTCCCTGATACTTACGTTGCATTAAGTATGTTCTCCCTAAGGTGGGTTTGAGAGAGATGATATGCTCACCTAGATAATTTCCTTGAACATCAACACAACCCAGGATGAGATACCAGTACCAAGGAACCTGAATCACACAAAATATAAGCAGCATTATTCAATAAGCCAGAGAAAGTATGGAAACTATAACTTCCGTCTTTCTTAGAAGTACCAGAAAGTCAAAGTTCTATATCCTAGTGAAGGCAAGGGGCAAAAATTAAAAAGAAGTACCAGTAGTCTACGACGTCTGCACAGCATGATGCTCCCATATACCAAAGCTAAGCCCAAGTAAACGAACAGCATCTGAGTAAGAGGCGCATCGACCCCTGAAACAAACACCGGTCTAAATGAAAGAATGAAAGGATAAGTATAGTCGAAGTACTAAATGCTCAAATTTAATCTCAGTCCTCCGCCTTATGAAACAATGTGTAATCGCAGGCTAAAGTTGCCACCTATGGAAGATTCACATATGCTGGTTCACCTTTATTATATTAGCCACGTCTCATTTTTCAAGTTGAAAATCGACCGTAGGCCTTGATCGGCCGTTCAAGACTTGATTGACCAGAGTTGAACACATAGGACTCAATTGCTTAACGACCCATAAATGGAGGACTTTTCCATGCACTTGTCCGAGGAAAGAAATGCTGCAATTTAGTATGGACATCTGATGGGGGAATATGAAAGAAAACCAAGACACCGGAGTTACCGAGATCAGCAATGAGAGAGGAAGTGAAGCTTGATAGTGCGAGTGCAAAGGAGACCACCTGACCCAGGAACAGCAGGTACAAGGTTCGCACTGTTAAATGGCTTCTCCATGAAACGTTCATGACTGTTAAACATAAAAATAATAGTTGAAAAGGGACAATTTTCTATTCTTTCGGACGTTGTAGGATGCTATTCCAGTCTCTGTTGGCAAAGGAACGAGTTTGGTGGGCTTCTATCATGTGTGGGTATGAAGAACCATGGAAGTGGTTATTGTCGCCATTTGCATACCTGTATATAAACAGCCAGTCAAAGACTCAAAGGACGAAGAAAGAAGAAGAACGCAGCAGCTACCATTCTTGTTACGTCGGTTGGGCAGGCTCTCTCTCTCTCTCTCTCTCTCTCTCTCTCTCTCCATAATCAGCACGATGAAAGCTCATAATGACCAATTCACTCCAGAATCATATGGAAAGTTGGGGTAAAGTTCCAAATAAAAACCTGAAGTGAGATCATTTTCTCGAGAAAGGGTCCAAAGTGAACATTATTTCAAATAAGAACCACAAGTTAGTTTTAAATGAGAGACTTGAAGTGGACAAATCAGTCTAAAAAAAGGGCCTAAACACGTTAATCAGAAAGGCTCTTGTGTGAAATAAAGTCCATTTTGGGCCCTTATTTAAGAAAATCACTCTACCTCGAGTCCATTTGTGAAATTTTCTCGGAAAGTTAGCGTGCATTTTCAAAAAAAATTTAAAAATATATATATACCATAGTTATCTAGTGAGGTCCCAACTAATTTTCACTAGATGGGGTAGTCCCTCTCCGTACGAACTTCTTTAATACTAGGTAATTACTGGGGACATACAGGTCTATGCTGCCAGGAGCAGCACCAAGAAATTGCACAAATGTGGTGGTTCGAACTCGGGCCTTGATCAAGGAAAACGACAATGTTTATCACTTGAGAAACCTCTTGGGGATAAAAATGTATTTATACATAGATAGAAAGTTGGATAGAATACTGTTGTTGTGGTTACGTCTGTGTGTCACACAATCATTGGCTCCATTTTCCTCCCTCTGCATTTATTTCATGAAAAGAAATATGAAAGGGTGTTAATTAATTAGATAGCAGTAATGCTCTCTTGGACTAGAGCTCAAAAAACTTATTTCTAATTTCTATAGCCAACACAAACTTTGTCATTTACTAATTTTTTTGGCCATAAAAATATTAACCAATTAAAAATCAAATGAAGCCAAGAAACACTTCATTAATTAAACGATCGTTTTTACATGGGCATTAACTTATATGGCTAGGTCAAATAGTAAGATATAACTTGAAATATCATCCGGAAAAAAAAGTGCTTCCAATATTTTTCCCTTTCACATATTAAGATGTACTTTTGAGCAAATGTTCAGTTATCATGTTTATCATTGGCTTAAAATAATCAGTGTATGCCAAATGCATTGTACCTCCAACAAGATAGTAAAACTCGACAATATATCTAACTAAAACATATTAAATAAATAAGCCTACTATCATCCTATCATGTAAGAAAAATTCACGCATCAAATAGAAAATATGATATGCGCCTCTTTTTAGTAATGTATAAAACAGATATATGGAGAGCTCAATGTCACTAGACATCTTCTAAGAATTGTTCTGAAATCAATTTGAGAAGACAAGTTCAATAGAAACCAATTTCCAAAAGATCACAAATTGGTAAAATACACAAAAAGAAATAGATAAAAAGAATTGTTCCATAAATTGTTAATTTTATGTGACATGACGATGATCAACATTAGTACTTTTTAAATTCATAGTCTAGCAACACTTTAGTAAAAACAAAATGTTGAGAACCCAAATCCCATACAGGGCATATGTTAGGAGTACATAGCAGAAATCCGATACCTTTCGCCCAAGAAGCCTAAGTCTAAACCTGTTAACATATCTAATTAGACTCACCTTCACTCAAAAACTTAAGCTATTGAGTTAAGGACCAACTATCATCTTTAACTAAATATGAAGTCTTGCCACCGGGCCTGCATTACACCACAATGTCCACCGCCCGGAAATTACGCCCAACTTCACCCACCAAATATCAGAAGAAACCATCAGCTCTGATACCAATTTGTTAGGAGCACACAGCAAAAATCCGATACCTTTTGCTTAGGAAGCCTAAATCTGAATCTGTTAATATATCCAGTTAGACCCACATTTACTCAAAAGGTTAAGCCATTGAGTTATAGGCTAGCTATGATATATTAACTACTCTACATCACACCAATTCTCCGATGTGGGATTTCTCTAACACAACTCACACGTGCATCCTAACAACACAGGAATTCTACTAGTATTGATATGAAACTGAGTTTCACCGTTTTGCCATTTTTTACCATACATTTTGGAATTGTGAGTTTGCATCCTTTAACTCTATTTTGCAAAATTGACATGACTAAAAAATTTCGTCCGTAGAAAAAAAGTAAATAATAAAAAGCCCCCAACAAACCCTAGCCTCCTCAATTCAAGTCTACCACAACCTCTGCTGCATCAGGCTTGCCCAGTCACCTGTTATTAATAACGCCACCCCGGCCCTTCCCTCTCTCTCTCTCTCTGAGTCGCTGTGGCTGTCGCAACCTCAAAATGGCCACAGGCATTGCACCTTTCGATTGAGGTTGCCACAATGTGGACAATTTCAATCCGAGGTTGTCCATGCACAGAATCCACGGCCATCGTTGTCGTCCGGGAGGGGAAGAGGGAGAGATGACAATGCCGTAAACTAGATGCATAGTTCTGCACAATTGAGGATGCAAAGTGCTAAACTGTTGAAAACTTGGGTTATGTTTTTCATAATTTCCCTTTTCAAAATATAATGTTTCAAATTTGAGTTGACATACCCTTTAATAACCCTGACTTGAACAAAAAGTTTATAACTATGAGATACCTTATCTGACGTGGCAGCTGTGCAATCTACAAAATGAGAAGCAAAACTTCCCGTAGAGTAAGTGGGAAAATATATCACCTGGTCTCTACAGGATAAAGATTAATCTCTATACCTAACATGGTCTAACTAGTTGACTCGACATTTTGCAAGTCATGAAACATCTAAATATCATATGAATGGCTTAAGAAAATCTCAATATAAGCATCATGTATCTATTCCAAAAGTAAATTGGTCAAATCATATGGAGGGAACATGATCAGCATCAATTAACTACATATTTATAAGTGAAAAAGCCACCTGAAACCTTTCAAACTATGCCCACCGTGACACATTTACCTTAAATTTTGTTGTGACACAAAAAATCCCAAACTTATACTTGTGTAACAAATTTATCCTCCGTCAAGATTCTGTCAGTGAGCATCATTAAAAATCTGCCTACTTGGACACTAGAAGGCAAACAGTATTGACATGGCGCCCACGCCACTTAAATGAATTAAAAACGATTTGTTTTAGTTGAAAAATCATCTTATAGAATCTTGTTGGAGGGTAACTGTGTTATATATGTACAAATTTAGGATTTTTTATGTCACAAGAAAAAGTTTAGGGTAAATATGTCATAGTGGGCATACTTTTGAGTTTTTTATGTCACAAAATAAAAGTTCAGGGTAAATGTATCACAATGAATATAAATTTGGGGTTTTGATGGTTTTTTCCCTATTTATAAGTATAGGCATCATCCATTCAATATTAGGTGCATTTAATTATTTAATTGATCATTGGGGTAAGGACAACTGTCACTAATGTACTTCAAACTCGAGTGCCGTGTTTAGGAGAACTAAGGTGAAGGAAAAGGAAAAATTACAAGAAAAGTCCTAGACACTTTGCTCAAAATTGTAGTGCTCTGAGTTTAAAAAAGCGTATATGATCAAATTCTAAATATTCTGAATGCACTTGAATTTTTTTTTTTATCTGGCGGCAGCTCGCCACTTTTTTTCTGACGCAGCAAGCCGGAAAGCCAACATGGCAATGTCTTGCTGGCCAGATATCCAACGTGCCACTTTTTATATTTTTAAAGCATATGGGCGCCGAGCTGGCACCACACAAAAAAAAAGCCAAGATAAGAAAAACAAAAAATTAAAAGAATAACAAAAAGCCAAGAAAAAAAATCAGCGACATGAACGCGGGAAACAATTCTACTTTTTTTTGGTAATTCATGGTATATTCGTCGGTCTCAAATTCTACTTTTTTCTATTTTTAATAATTCAGCAATATGAAAGCAAATGTTCGACTACTTAGGGCATGCATATAACCATTATATATTTTCATTTTTCTATTTTTTTGTTCTCGAGAATGGGTTAGGAACAGAAATCCATTTAGTAATGCAATTTCATTTTTCTATTTCTGGAACAAATTTTAATTTCAAAAATAGGTTTGGAACAGAAATGAAAAGTTAAAGTTTTCTATTTTTCTATTTTTGAAACAGAAATGAGAAATAAAAAATATTCTCATCGCTCGCCCTCTCTACTAGCCGACCACCAACCTGCCATCCCCCGCCATCCGTCGTTGCCCAGCGGCCGCCCGCCATCCGTTGTCGCCCAGCGGCCGCCTCCTGCCATCCGCCGTCCTCCGCCGCCTGTGTCTGCCACCGGTCGCCGTCTGCCATCCTCCATCGCCCGCCTCCCGCGGCCGCCTACCGTCCACCTCTTGCCGCCGCCGCCCGCCTGGGAGGGAGAAATTTTGCGTCATTATCAAACGCGTAGTTTGGCTTAGAAATTTGTCCAAGGAATAAAAAAAAAAAATCTACTTCTAACCAAAAATTGATTTCTAGAACATAATAGTTATCAACACGCCCTTAATTGTCCATGGCATATCCTATAAGTTTCATGAGCCTGTTAAATTCAAGCCTTTGACCTATCTAGATAACCCTAACAGTTTTTAAATAGTTAGTGATATTCAAACATTTGATTTCTAATTCCTAAATTGGAAATCCCATTCCTTTTCGTTTTTTATTCTAATTTTTTTTTCCTTTTTTTTCCGTAAACTGCAATTCTACTACGGCCACTTCATCCAACAAATCCACACTTGCCACAACTTGTTTGGTTCTATCCCTAAAGAGCTTACTCAGTTGATTTCCCTGGAAGTCTTCAATGTGTCTTACAACGACTTGTCAGGAGCCATACCAAACAAAAATCAGTTTGAGGCATTCGATGAAAGCAGTTACTACGGAAACCATCTGCTGTGTGGATTGCCGTTTAGTAAGAACTGCTCGACACCCATTAACATCAATTGCTCGGCAACAAAATCATGCACAAAAGCTAAAGAAGATGGTTTCATAGACAGAGACATTGCA